TGATCATCTAATACTTTCTCAATCAATAAAACACCTAAACGTCTAAAACGGAAGTTCAAAAACATTATTTCATCCACCATAATTGAGTAGAGGCACATCATCTAGTATCGTTACATGGTTTTTTATTAAATTTTAGGAGTTTTCAATCCAAAATCAATTAGTAATGAACATATTGACTAGTATCATCTATATAGGTACTTCTAGTTCCTTTCTATTTTAGATATCAATCTTTTAATTCGTTCTACCGAAATGATGGTTAAATGAATCAATTTCAATCTAAATTTCACTCTACAATTTCAATATATATCCTATTTAGGCCGAATTAATTAGTTAGGGAAAAATTACAAAAATGTCACTTTTTATGTGCACATTTACAAAAATGTCACGTAAGAGGGTTCATTTGCAAAAATACCACTAAGTATAGATTTTTAAACCCTATATCTTAAAATTTTAAACACTAAAAAATATTTTGACCCTTAAATCCTTTTAAACTCTCAAAACTAAACTCCAATAGAACATAATTAACACAAACATAAATAATAAATTTTTTTTTTAAAGTTGTATTTTTGTAAAGATTTCAAAAATGTGACATTTTTATAAAATGCCATTTGAAAAGTGACAATTTTTTGAAATTTTTCTATTAATCGATTAGTTAAGCGAAAACTCAAATTTTTAATTTTGGGTTGATAAGTGATTTCAATGTGCTATGTTAACATAATGCTATTTAGAGAATATTTTTACGTTCACATGTGGGTTTTACGAATTTTACTTCATTAGTATATTTTTAGTTCACATTCCATTGAGAATGTGGTAATAAATAACAAGGTATTGAAAATGTGGAGTCCAAAAAAAAAGAAAAATGTAGAGTCGAACCACTTGACGTTGTGAAGCATCCATGAGCCAAGAGGCGAGCATCAAGTCGAGCCGAGCTGGGATTCGAGCCGAGCCGGGAACGGACTCTCCACGAAGTCACACGCCTGACGCTTTGCAAAAGAAACATGCGCACTATGAACACCTGCGCCCCCACACGCCGCCGTTTCATCATTTATAAAAGATGCTTTTTTTTATAGGACGATTTTGCCATTGAGCCCCTCATCGGCTACTGGGTCCATTTCCTTTTTTCCTTTTCATTTTTTTATTTTAGTTTTTTTATATATTTCCAGGTCAAATATTTTCCTTTTTTATATGTTCACATTTAAAAAAAAAAAAAAAATTATTCCCACATGTGACCAAAAACAAAAAAAATATTATTCCCACATTGTTACTTCTTCTTTTAATAGGTACCTTCTTTTGACGATTTTTAACCATAATTTTGTTCTAATAACGCGGAATTTATATATAACAAAAATTAAGATATCATTTATTATATTATGCATTTTCTGTATATATGTATGTTTCATGTGAATATTAAATAATCGTTAAACAAAAAATTTCTTTGATTAAATTACGAAATAAAAGAATTACGTTACCATGCTTCATAAATAGTATATGAGACAAACACCTCCATTTTAATTTTATCATTTGGGTCAATAGTATCGGACGAATTTCATGCTTTTTAATTTTCACTTATGTATATATTTCCAGGTCAAATATTTTTCCTTTAATTTTTGTTTCCTTTGATCATGTTTTCCTAACATTTTTATATATATATAAAAAATGTTTTGCCCACATTTTCACTTCTTTTAATAGGTACCTTCTTTTGACGATTTTTAATATTTTTTGTTCCAACGGAACTGTAATGACTGACTTGTGTTATAAGTTTGTTACACCGTTATGTTAATCTATATACAAAATTAAGATATCATGCATTTCTCTATATATTTATGTTTCATGTTTATATTATCAAATTATGTTAACAAGCAAAATTATGAAATAAACAATCACGTCACCATATTTCATAAATAGTCTATGGACAAACAACCTCCATTTCAATTTTATCATTTTTGGCCAATAGTTTATGTTCATTAACTTAAGTTTTGCCCTTTATGTTAAGTGATATTTGTCCTTAG